AAAAAAACTAGTCCATTTTGTTAAACACATAGGTGATTTTTGTTCAGGGCTTTTTTTGCTTTCCATGTTCACAGTTTGGTCAGATAGCCAAATAAATCAGTTATTTGCACAACTGTGATTCTAATTAAAATGTTGGGCCCTGGGGACTTGGGCTATATATTTCAATACAGTACATATTTATAATAACAAGTACACTTCCTGGAACTCCATATATAATAATAAAAAGCAGTCCAGAGCACTGGGGAGATGAGGGCACTGGGGGAAACCCACTGCCTTTTAGCTCTTCAGATTTTTATTATCAGTAGATAGTTGTATTTTGGAGGGTATTGCTTTACAAGATAAAATTTACATTTGTTTGAGCAACTCACAAAGGGGGTTCACTGCAAAGCTATCATTAGAGGAAAATAATGCTGAAGAAGAAGCAAAAGATACATTCTCAGCAGAGTGGGACATGTGGATACTTTGAGATCTTTGTCACCACAGGAAAGATGCTGTCTTCTCACTCTACCATGACCTTCCAAAAAACCAAGCAGTTTTATACAGGGATTGTTCATAAAGTGCTGGGACTGTTCTGCTTTTTTTTTTTCCTAGTGTTTCTGCCTTGCAAAGAGTTTAGTCATTTCTGTATGATCATTCCTGTCTAGAAGCAGTTTCCTCTTGTTCCTGTTCAAAACCACAGAGCCCATTTTACCCAAGATGAGGACTCTGGTATCAGGTTTTCCTGATGTGCTTTTCGCTTGTTTTAAGTGTTGCCTCTCTACTGTAGGTACTGATAGGAACTGAAGGAGTCACTCGTAAGTTTGGCTGTATGTTACTCTTCTTCTTCTTGTTATAACTGATATGATTTGATGTTTTCTCCATTTACATATATCCGTGAGCAATAAACCCATGATGTTATTCAACCTTATAACCGTGTTAGAGATGCACTGATAGGACAGGGTGAGATGTTTTCTTCCCAGCACGGTCAGCGTGGTATTCATTCTGCTCCTTTGTTGCAGAAGAGCCCCGTAGCCTGAGCTCTGGTACCCAGGGCACTCTGCCACTCTCTCTGCAGTGCCTCAGCCTGTGATTTGGCAATTGTGATTCTTCCTCCAGGTGATGTTCTCTGTAGTGTGCAGAGCCGGTGCTTGTTTTGGCACTGCCCCAGTCCCATTTGAAGAGCTTACATCTCATATGATCTTTATATAATAAAACAGACTTCTTCCTAGGAACCTTTACTGGGTTAGTGGTGGAGGAAGATGCCTATAGGATTGCTAGGCCTTGACTGCCAAGTCCTTGAAGACTAGGACCAGGCTTTCTAGTGGAGAATTCTTCAGTGTTCACTTCCCTTGAGTGAAGAATTGTAACTGTAGAAAAACACCACTGCCATTCTTGATCTGATAGTGTAACTGCAGAATGACAACCAAATAAGGAGCCATGGATAACATATAAGAAATGAGGCTTGAGCCAGCCCTCTCCGACTCCCCATAGGTACTCTTTGATGAGGTTAGGTTTGTGCACACTTCTGGAAATTTCTTTTGACATCTTTGAGGGCCTCCTATGAGTTTGTCCTTACCTCCAGAAGTCTGGGGCATTGCTGGACAAAGTGAGGGTCTGCTCCAAGCTGTCAGATTTCTTTCTCCATTGCCTCACAGCTGCCCCATTTAATACTATCTGATAGCGAGTAAGGCACTTGAACCCGTTGCCCAGAAAGGTGGTAGATGCCCCATCCCTGGAAACCAGATCAGATTGGGTGGGGCTCTGAGCAATCTGATCTTGTTGAAGATGTCCCTGCTCATTGCAGGAAGGTTGGGCTGGGTGACCTGTAAAAGTACCTTCCAACCCTTCTATGATTCTTATTCTGTGGTAAGTACCATGAGATTCAAGATAAGTCAAAATTTGGTAGGAAAGAAAGGTAGATAAGATGGGTGGAACTGGAGACTTGACTAGGGGAGCTGAGAGTATGCTGTGATATGTAGGAGGGTGGGCTAACATTTTTACTGAGTGCATATAATAGAATCATGCATGTAGGGAGGTGCCTTCATTAGTCTTTATTTGTTCAGGAATTCTGCTGTTAGATTTCAGCAGTCCTAGTACTCAACCCCAATATTACCATGGGATTATTTCATGCCTGTGACACTTCAAGCCCCAGCAAGAAACAGGGGTCCTCCTCCTGTTGCTGCCAGTGCCCTGGGGAAATTTTTACTTCTGGTTGTTGCTGTTTTCTTTGTGAGCTTACTGCTACTGTACCAATCAAAGGTTTGTCTAGACTAGAGCTCAGGGTTAATTATTACCCTCATAATCCATTTCCTTTTGCCAACAGCAGTGACTTATGTGGCTAAGTCAGAAGGGAATGCTCTCATCATGGGCAGCCTCTTTTCTATGATCTTCATTAAGCTTTGGACCATTAACTCAAGATGCGTGATTATTCTGTTTGTTCGAACAGCAAGACAAGCAGTGTCTCCTCTGAGTGTTTCTTTCAAGCAAACCAGCATGACTGAAAACTGGGAGCTTGCCAGAAAATGTTACGTGAAATAGTAGTGGCAGGTTCATCTTAGTGTGGGCGGAGAGAGAGCGATGTACCCTCTATTTTACTACTTCAAACATACAGTGTCCATATGTCAGAGTTGAGTTGGTTTATGGATGGAGTATGAAGGATACTACTTCATCTACTCCATGCAAACACTCTGTGAGTGCTGTAGAATATGTAGTCTCATGGATATGAGTATCAGCTGTTGTTGCAGTCCAAACACACAGCATCAATATTCAGTATGCTATAGACAGTACTGTTTTTCTCCTTTATATTTAGTGTTAGTACACAAAGCCAAATACTAAAAGGGGGGTGGGTGGGTCACATGATTAAATTAATACCATTAATTATTTAGAAACAATCAAAGGAAATACAAGACATCTGGCTTTAAGCCCAAACAACTCATGGCACTGCTGTTGCCTTGTAACCTCATCAGCTCTTAGTCCAGTCATCTCTTTTCTTTCATTATGAATGCAGGAGATGCTCCCCACCACTCCCCCACACCCCTCTTTCCTGCCTTACTTCTGGCAGCTTGGAACACAGATCACAAGACTGGACTATCTAGTTGTCTGGTTTTGTGTGTATAAACCCTGATTAGCTGTACAATGAAAAGGCATCCCCCCCCACAGCACCGTGCTGTACAATAGGATTTGATTAGCAGTGTGTTGCAGCCATAGGTCATATTTTTCTCCTCATCTCGACATTGGAAATTAGCTGCTGTAGAAGGGACAAACACTGTTGTTACTGTAGTGCTGAAAATCATTAAACACACGTGTAACACTAGGTTGTATACAATATACAGTGAGAGAGGATTCCTACCCTTAGGCATGGAGAGTCTACATAGGCAGAAAAGCTGGAGATGAATTCACATCGTGGAGGATGGATATGCCGTGCCTGTGATTTTCCAAGAGGACTGTGGCAGACCCAGTCCACTGACCTTGGTTGGTATTTGCCTTCCCCTGGCTGAGGCCAGTGGTCCTATTTGTAGCCCTGGCCAGGTATTTTCCATTGGAATGATTTTTTCCGTGAAAATTCTTTTTCTTGAAATGAAAATTTTCTTTGGGAATAAAGGTTTTACCCAAGAAAAGTCAAAGTAAATATTTCCCAACTGCTGGTTCTGGAAGACTCTATGCTCTTTTTTTATTTTTTCACCACATTTTTCTGGGTAGTTGATGGAAATTTTTTATTTTGATTATCTGAGAGATGTATTTTTGTGGAAACACCTTCTCATGGAGAAAAAAGACCCACTTGGCTGTTGTTTTTTTTTTATTCCAGCTCAGGAATAGAACATTTTGGGGCCCCTTTCCCTCAAGTGGGGAGGGCTATCTTCGTGATAAGATAGGTCCATTTTTTCCTCAGGTCAGTCTTTCTTAGTATAGATAATTGAATACAATTTAATCATGTGGCTCTCATCTTCTGGAGGCAAATTAGTGTATACGATTTCCTGGCATGGTTTTACAGTTATCAGGGCAAAACAAAGTTCTTGCTGATACTGGGATTCCACTTCTCTGTGCACTGGTGAAGGTGGACCTATTTTGTTTACTAGCAGATGTACTGAAGTCATTCTCATTACGTCTACATCTGTGGAGAACACTGACTTTCATTTTCTTGCTTTAATCCAAAAAGCATAGATTCTCTGACTGTTCTCTTAATGGTTACTGAGAGTTGCTTTGAAGAACTCTTATTTTATGAAAAGGCATTGAGAATTCTGTCGCAGTAAGCATCTCTAGACAGTCTTTACCTACTCTTGACTACTATTTTGAAGATGCACATTCCCAATTATCTGTGGAAACTTCTTGGTTCTGAAAAGTGTACTTTAGACTGCTGCTCTCTATTATTTGTAGTATTCCATAGCCTGCACTTGTCCTCAGGGAACAGTGGCATCAGTTGAACATATTGGGTGTGATTTTTTGAAGTATGCAGTTATCCACATTTGGTTCCTTCTGTGTGCAATGTGTGTTAACACTACCTTCAACAAAGGCAGAGTTAGGCCTATGCAGAAGATTTTAAAAATCAAAAAATGAAACCCACCTCTTGCACCCTGGGCTATTTGCTGGCAAGAACATATGTTGGGAGTGCTTCTGCAGCTTTGCAGGATGTTTGTTGAAGGAGCTTAGGCTGCTGTCTGAGTAATGGAGTGGTTAATTTTGATGCTATGATAGGTTTCCTTCTTTAATATTGCCCTTTAAGTTTATCATATGTTTTCAAAGTATTCTGTCTCTTGAAAAGAAATGTAAAAATTAGTCTCTCAATCAAATAAACAAAAACAAAAAAAAGGCCAAGCCCACAACCAACCTCTTACGTTAAGCTGTTCCAAGGTTTTGTTTATTTATTTCCTTATATTAACGCCAGTACTTTTTATTTTGGTTTTCTCTGACGTAGTCGCTAGGTACAGTTTATTGTTTATGTAAAACTCACAATTTTATTTTCCTTTTCTTCTCTCCCTTTACTTTTCCTTTTCCTGACATCTCCATCGCATGTTGATGTGAAGAGCAGCAGTGGTTGGCAGTTTTCCTCAACCTTGCAAGAGAGAGAGAGATTTGGTTGGAATGAAACCTTGCTCTCCGTACAGCCTGTTTGAGATGCAGCATTGAAAGGTATAATAAACTCATTTTCTGTCTTGAAACCAGAGATGAAAACCACAAACAGGTAGAAATCTCAGTGCCAAACCACCTGTTGAGTCACAGCCGAAAAGCCCTTGGCAATACTTTTCTCACTGTATCCAGTTGGAACAGTTACATTGCTGATTCCCACAGTATCTGTACCTGCAAGTTTGGTAAAGAGGCTAATTCGTTTGAGAGGATTTGAATTGAAATTTAGGTAAAGTTAGCATGGAAAAGAATCTTCTGTTATTAGTCTTGCATTTTGCCTAGAGGTCAGAATTGAGGTGACTGGATGAAACTGTGAAGACAGAAGTTGTTAAATACCCTGCTAGTAGCATCAGTACTTCATCTTTTGAGAGTATTATAATTCAGAAAGTCACTTGAAATCAAGTTAAAATGTTATCCTTGAACTGCTACACATATGCTCCCTGTGACATGTGCATTACAGAAACAGCCACTGTGTGTTGATATGGCATTAAAATTTTGGACTCCACCCACAAAAATTAATAACATTCTTGAAATAAGAGTGATGTAGGATGCTGACACATTTAAGCCCATATGTTCCTGGACTTGTGTCCTCCAGTGCATGAAAGAACTAGAAATCCCAGATACTTTGTTTTTTCTTATTTCCTGTAAATCCATGCTGGGAAAGTAGGAAAATGTAAGTGATGTCAGCCTGGAAGAAGGCTTTGGACTGTGAATAGTAGAGCCATATTTTTTATTTTTATGTGCTCTTACCTGTCCTATTATGTTAGTCGTTCTAGTTGACTTCCGTGGGTTTGTAGACACATAATTTAGAACAGATTTGGGCCACACTATTTATATTCATGCAGATTGCTTCATATTTGTGAAACAATTATTTCCTGTGGATCTTTAGCATTGTCCAGTGTTGTGAAATGCTTTCATATGTATATATGACTGGTTAAAACATGAAATGTGTTTTGAAGCAACATGACAAAAAACAGTAAAAGCTGCACAGTAACTGAGCTATACTTGGCTGTCCATATAATGTCCAATTAATGTGGTTACTGTGCTCTGAAGCCTTTCCAAGGCTGAATAAGACATGCTATGGCCTTGTAAAAAAAACAGTTTTTCCCTGAATTTTCTAAAGATTTCCATTACAGATGCTACAATGACATGAGGACACTCTAATCTGTGTCTTTAGTAGCAGTAACAATGCAGGGTGTGAAGTATATCCCCAAAATCTGAAGGTGTGAATTCTAACCCATCAGCAAGCTGTGTGTGAGAATTCTATACAGTAAAACCTAATTCTGTGCTGAAGAGGAACACTGTGAACACCCAGAGTAAATAGAGGATGTTCTGTTCTCTACTGCACTATCTTGAGCCAAACTTGGGATCTAAAAGCCAAGCGAGGTTCTTTCATCGTCATGAAGATGCTGTAAGTCAGATTGTCCCCTTAGGCTATATTTTGACAGTGTAGTAAACTGAGCTTTGGGAACTTTCTACCAGATCGAGAACTCTGTCACCTCAAAATGCAAAGCACGAATCCATTATAAATTCTCTGATGTAGTTTTTAAAATATATTTTGATGTGTTGACTTTTACCAGCAAGCTCCATGCCTTATCTGATACCTTTTGTTCCCGGCTGCTAATGTTAACACATATAAGGGCTGGCAGAAATGTGATCTCATGCCCTCACGTGATCCAGGTCTGTACTGTGGAGTTATCTTTTAGTGCAGTCTCCTAAAGTTTCGGTGTTCAAGCACCATCAACTCAGCTACTCCCCTGCATTTTGTCGTCTTTCTATTCTTCCCTTAGTACTGGAAGGTGGCAGAAGCATCAGGAAGTACGAAATCTGATTTATGTTACATGTGGGATCAGAAAATGTCTTTGATTTTGTACTTGTAGGTCAACACTTCCAATTCGGTGAACTGTGTTGAAAAGAGTGAAAAAAGCTAAGTCTTGTTTCTTGCACAGAATGAAGACAGGGTGCTACAGGAAAAGTACATGGGCAAGTTCCTTTCTGCCTAAACTCTAGAGAGGCTAATGAAAAGGAAAACCTTCAGAGCTTTTATTTGAGGATGAATTTGGCCAGTATTAAAAGCTTGTCTAAAATTCCTATTGTTTTCTTTTGCCTTCCTCTTCTTTGCTTTTCTGTGTTGTGTGATGAATGTATCATGTCCACATTTCGTGACTGGAGTTTTGTGCTTAAAAGCCACATTGTCACAATGAATGTCTTTACTAAATTATACTTCAGAATTTTTCCAGGGAGTTTGTAGTTTGGAAAGCTGCTTGCAAAAGCTTCAGTTTCAGTAATATTCTGTACTTGAACATGTATGGTTTGCTTGACCTTGGTGGGCCAAGATGATTCTCGATCTGATTATCTTGGTCTCTGGGAAGACGAATAGGGGAAGAGGAGGGAAGAACTTTATAGTGAGATTGTTGATACTGCTGTGTTTAAAATGTATTGTTTCCTGGAGTCTTGAGAAGTTTTCAATTTGTTTTCCTTCCCTCTCTGACCTAATTAATTTTCAGGGTTATCCCCAGGGATGTAATTTATAAGACAAATGAATTACATTAAAAGTTGCTGTCATGGTATAAACTCCCTTTTTTAAGGTAAATTTAATATGTTTCTGTGTTCTTTCCATCTATAAATAGTGATCTACCAATGATGGTCTTTTCTCTTTACTTTTCACAAAATTTTAGGTGTATAGTGTCTTATTGTCAGTATTGAAAATACTAAAGATCTGGACATTTGAAAGGACAAATAATACTATAATTCGTCTGTGACTAGCAAAAACCTTCTGAAGTAACACTAGCTGAGAGGCAGGGCTTTTTTTCTTTGAGTTTGTCTTTAAAAATAGATTTATGTAAAAAAGAGTCAAATAATAACTAGTGTACAAGTCTACTCACCAATTTACAGCTTACTGTGAGGTAAAAACATTTGCCCTCAAGAAAGGAGTTTTAGAAAGGAAAAGCACATACCCCTTTCAGTGCTCCGTTCAGGACTGTCCCAACTGCTGCGTTCGTATTAGTGAAGCTGTTTAACCTTTTGAAGCCCGTGGGGTCTTTGTACTGTCTTTTCATGCAACCGTTTTTTTTTAATATCCATGCAACCTACTGACTTCACTAAGATAACAGACACATTAAAGCATTTACCTTGAGCTTCCAAGGCTGTGCATTCTTTTCTGAAGGATTAAGGAGACACAAGGGATAATTGCTGCTCCTGGTAAAAGCTGTGGGCGTTTCAAGAGGAGGAGCAAGTTTGCTGTAAATTCATGCCAAAATACAAGTTTGGAATTTATTTGGGTCCCAAAATTTTCCATTAGCATTGCAGCTAGGTTCTTATTGCTAAGTTTGGATAGTGGCACTCTCTTTTCTTTTCCATAGAGAATGAAATGCAGAGAGAATGAAATAGCTTAAATGGGGATAAAACAAAGTACGGTGCATCTTTAACAATTTTTTGATTAGATGGAATAAGCCAAGGAAGAGAACTTCTTTTGTAAAAACGTACTAAACATAGAAAAACATCCCAACATTAGCTCAGCAGAATATCCAAGCCAGTGTTTAAAGTTCAGCTTGTGCTCCAGTGCTGCTCTGACATGGAGCGCCTGTGCTCTGTCATGGACTTCTGTGGCCAAGTCCCAGCAGCTCGCTCACACCCTGAGCGGCAGGATTTGGGGAGGATCTTCTGGTAAGTGTGAGGCACTGCTGAGCTGGGAAGTTTGCCTCAGGAGATGACAGCAGGGAAAGGGTGTTGTGCAGGGAACTTATTTTGAAACACTGGATGCACTTTTTTTAGTTTTCTATTTCCATGCTGTGTTCCCGGCTTTTCTAAAGGAATCCTAAGTAATTTCGAAACTAAATTACTTCACTAGCAGTTTTGTGGCCCTCGTGGATATAACAAGCGTGCGTGACGCTCTCTCTGTATCACTTTTTCTTGGTGTGCTTAACAGTCTTATGGCATTTAAAAATCTTTCTTCTGTGTCCAGACAGCGTATTTCTTTAGTTAAGGATAAGGTTCAGAGGCAGATATAAAATATTTATTTATTTTAGGTCTGCACTAACACTGCCTTTTTTTTTTTTTTTTTTTAGATGGTAAGTTATTTTCCTTTCTTTAGACAGATTATAGAGAACACAGTGCTATCCCACAGTCCCCAGCTTCAGTTTTAAAATGGATCAAGTTTAGGTTCTGACATAATTGGCAGAGTACCATCATTTTTCTACCCCTCCCTCAATCTGGGCCATAATTGTGGATATCCTGTGGACTGCAGCCCAGAGACTGCCAGTACTGGGAGCATACGGAAGGGAAGAAATGATGGCAATAGCTTTGTAGCTTGACCTGACATTTGCATTGTTTCTCAGCCGCTAAGTGTGATGAGGGGAGCAGAGGGTTTGGCAAGAACTGTAAGAAACTGGCCACAATTTGGAGAAGTAATCTCACCTGCCTTGCTCAGATGTTATTAGTAGGTGCTGTTTGCACTTAAAAAAAAAAATAACATGACGGTTTATTTTAAATAAAGAAAAAGAAAGCAAATAGATAGAGAAAGTCATACTCTAGGTAATTCCACTGCTTGCAATGAAGTTGCACTGGGGGTAGATATTGACCCTATAAAATCCCTGGGTCACAGACAGCCTTATGACAGACCCTGATAGCTTTGTGAAGACAGATTATGTCAAGCCCTCAAATTTGGAAACGTAGCAATTCCTCTGTAGTAAGATTGCAAATGAACACCCATTTGGAGATTGCCAACATTATCACAGTTTGTCAGGGTGATCTCACAGCCCACAAAGCGCCGTAAGAGATTGCTTTACAAGTTCTGAAAGATTAGAGCGTTGAAGTATGTGACACCAAATGATGCTTTGATGCCTGGCTTTGTCAGTCAGCCAGACAAATAAATAATATCCAGTGTTTTTATTAGTGTAAAGCATAACAGGTAATGGAAATATATGGAGAAACCCTTCCTTGTTGCAGCTACAAGGAGTACAGAAATGTAGGCTAAAAGAAAATGGGATGTGTTGGTGTCAAATCCT